TCAAACAAATTAATAAAATAATAATAATAATTTTATATTATTATTCCTATGACAGTAATCGCCATATATTGTAAAACTGAAATGAGCTGACATTATGGCCATGTATCGTCTGCGATAATGAACGCGATTTTGTGTAGCTTGTCAGTGAACTACGGCTCTGTGTAGTAAATGCTGCTCCATCTGAAAGCATGTGATAGAGATTTACTACTGATCACAGAACCGACATGTTCTGTAAACGCTCCACCTGCTGGCAGAGAATGAATGAGCATTTTCAATAAAACTGTTGTTAAAAAGTCTTAAATTGTACAAGAAAGTCTTAATTATGATTTCAAGAGGTCTTGAATTTGGGGACTGAAAGACCAGAATTGCGATATGGCTGAATGTGACGATTAAACTTAAAAAGGCTATGATTTCATTAAATAAACACAAGCGCTGCACGTTCAGAGTCCGGTGCTGCTGCTTTGTGTTTTGCCGTTACCGGGAAAACAGTTAGCCTATATTTCTACCAAACTCTCCACCTGCTGGCAGAATGAATGAGCATTTTCAATAAAACTGTTGTTTTGTTCACAGTTCAGACCAATGCAAAAATCGACCCATGTTTTTACCCTGCAAACACGCAGAGCTTTAAATGTGAACTGGTGGATCGATAAGAAGACAATGCATTATAAAAAATCTAAACAGGGGTGTGCGATATGTATGGTCTGCAATAATATCGTAATTGTTGTTTTAACGATGTGCAATTTGATATTATCGAGTATATTGCGAAAAGCAAACACACCTACAGAGTGCACACATACATTAGATGATTAAGTCTAGCAAGTTAGACTAGTGCGTGTGCGTATTTATAGTGCATTCTTTCACTGCATCAGTGTATTAAATCAGTCTATTAAAATGCATTTAGAATTATCACATAATTCAAGATATGGGGCAGAAAATGTATATCCTTTTAAATAGGGGTGTGCCGGTGAGTATCGGTACCGAACGGTTCACGGGGCAAATTCCAAATGGAAGTGATCATCCCTATCCCCTAGGAGTGGGGACTTTGGGGTACTTTTGAGAATCGATTTTTTCTCCCACCCCTATTAAACAGTGAGTAAATACATCTAAATGCCACTTCAATCAGGGTATCTTCCGATCATTCGTTTTTAAATTTCATATTGAAATCTGAAAAATAAAAAAACGGCACATTTTCATTTTTTCAAACAAAACGAAAAATCAAGAATTTGGCTTCATTTTTCGTTTTTACGTTCAGGGATAGAAAACGAATAAGCAACTTGAATATTCAATCCCTACATGTGGGCGGGAATGAAACGCCCCTCTCCGCTGATTGGTCAACCAAACATTTAATAGTCCTAAAAAAACATGAATCCTCCGCTTCTATGGATTCTTAACGTGTTTATTTCTTCTACATTTTGATCTCTTTCTCTTCATCAAACAGCCAGATTAACGAATGGCTTGACACAAACCATATCGAGGCAGAGCCTAGACAGAGTTTTCTTTTGTGTAGGCATAAATTCTGCAACCTACCCGTGAAATATTAGGCATAGAGTGGTGTATCATTCCTGAATGAATCAGTCTTTGAAAAACCCATTATTATAGACAACAATGCAATTACCAATTATTATAGACAGCCGCTTGATTTTATTCCTAAATGAATGAATGAAGCATTTTGAACGAATTGATTGAATAA